GTGCCTAGGTGCGTGCGTGCGTGTGTGTGTGTGTGTGTGTGTGTTGTATTTTCTGTTCAGTGATTGCTCCATTCCTAAGGTTCTCTCTTAGGAGCATTACATTAAAACCATCTCTGAGTTAAAAAATAAGAAAGCTATCCAGACTTTTTACATGTTTCTATATTTACTAAGTTTCTATAAGTTTTTGTACAGCTAATTGTTCTTGCTAATAATAAGAAGGAAACAGTTAAAATGCTATACGCATGAGAACAAAAGGATTATTACTTTTCTAAAATGTATTTATTTATTTTGCAACAAAGCCAGATCACAGAGCCTTGCAATAGAATTGGCAGCACACACTAGCAGCCATAGCAGCACAGAAGTTTCAGAATTTTCTAAAGTAAGAGATTAAACAAGACATTTATGGGTGTTATCAGCAAACATAAATGAAATTAATTTGTTCCTGAAAACATGCAAGTGCATCAATCACCAAAGACTTAGCAGATTTGGGGCTTATTATCATTAGGCTAGGATAATGTTGATAACAAACAACAACAGGCAAACAACGTGGTTTGTAAGCATGTCTAACAACATCAGGGCATGGTCCTATTGAGACAACCAATGAAGTCCTGGAGTCTCCTCCCACATATGGACCAGGAAATCACTGAGCTCCAAAACAGTCTGAGGTGTAACCTGGTGGTGTTGGATAGACCAAAAATAAAGTCCCAGACGTTTTCTATTAGATGGTATCAATTCCATCATCCTCCAGGAACTACCTTCCTGCTCTCACCACATAAGGAATATATAAATATATTGTGTTGACTGTGAAGTCTATTTTATGTACAGAACACATTTAAAGAGGAGAAACTGCCCCCAAGTATTTTGAGGACAGACACATTCAAATTCCAGGTTAATAGTTTTTTTTAAAAAGTTTTAAAATACACTAAAGGTTAAAAGGTGTGTTTATTGTGTTAATTAATTATTGTGGAAAGTGGAAATAACAGTGACTTAGTAGTCATTATAATGTGTTTGCAAATTTGCAAATGTATGATGATCATGGCTGCTCTCCTCAAAATAAGCTGCCTTTATAAGTTACAGTATTAGTATTGATATGCAGGCCCTGTATCGGATCAATACCAAAATTTGCAGTATCATCGCATAGCACTAGTGGGAGGGAGACCTCACGATAAAATGATGGAGAAGACATGTGAATGGGCAAAAAAATAAAATAAAATAAAATAGGAATCTTTACTACAGTGACCTTTTTGTTGCCGTCATTTTTCCCGTTACCCAGCGGGTCAGAGGAAGTGCTGCCTGACAAGCAGATCTCAGGGAGAAATCTCACTACAGCCGCTGTCTCGTGGGCATGCGCAGTAGAGTGGCTACAGTGCTAGCAGCTGAGTTGTATGTGCAGTTATTAAATGACATTAAAATGGCTAGTTGTTCTTGGGCAGAAAACATACTCCAGCTTCTCCGTAAAATGAATAACTTTTATTTACCAGGTATGCGGGTGACAGTAAGAGAAAGGATGAAACGGATGAAGGCAGTTTGATAAGTAACCACGTCTAACTTTCTCTCCACAGGTTCGTGTCGTTCAAGCTGCTTTCGTTTTGAGATTGAAGGAGCCCATGTCGGCTGGATACCTCCTCACGTAGCTTCGCTTTTAGCACGCTATCCAGACGTGTTCAGTCCGCCACACCAGGGTGCAGTGACCCTCTGCCACGGCCTGGACTCCTACGAAAAGAGATCCGAGGCTGTGAGTCACGTACTGCAAGCTCTCAGACAGGAGCCCTCTTTAACCTGCCTTAAAGGATGGAGAGATGAGGTGAGGCACGCAAGTCAAACGTCAACGTATACAATTGTGTCTTTGTGTGGTTTTTCACTGGAAGCATTACATACTCTTTACCCGTGGCCAACTGTATCACGAGTTGTAAAACCAAGCCTGACCCCCCCCCCCAGTCAGAATTTAGTAAAACGTTTTAACTTTGCAAGCAATGTTCCCTCTCATTTTTCATGTGTCTGAGCGAACACACAAACTCCCTGAGCGGTCCCTTGGACCACTGTGAGCAACAGCAGACATGTCCACTGTGGTCACGCCAGCATCGAATCCATCCAAGTTACATGGTTTATTAAAATAAGCAAATTACAGCATTTACATTTATGTTAGACTACTTTTATTTAACTGCTTTAGCCCACTTACACAGCGCAGCCAGTCACTTACTGACTAACACTGCAAAACAGAATTGTTAAAGTTTCAATTTTAATTTCAAATCAGGTTAGTTTTTTTTTTTGTGCGCAACGCAGATTTTTTGTGCGCAGAGACCAAGCCAGCAGTGCGCAATTGCACACGTGCGCAGCTTAGAGGGAACATTGTTTGCAAGTGTGTCCTCACTGCAACATCTGAGACTCAAGTACGCGCAAAAGCTCAGGTAAATGTAGAGGAAGTAGTGTTTCCACAAAGAATGCAAAGAAAACAGTTCATTTAAAGAACTGAAGGGTATCTACAAACCTTTGGCGTTGTGGGTGGATTACACTGTCCTCTGTTTTGTGATACAATTTGTCCTGTTTTGTAAATACAACATGAAAGTGATTTTTTTTTTTTTTTTTTAAGTATTTTCTTCATTTTGTTACTAAGAATTTCTTGTGTTTTACATGCTTTATTTTGCACTATAGTGAAATATTTCTGTATACCATTCAGAAATTGTCATTAGTTGTCTTTTGCAATATAAAGTTTTTTATTTGTGCGTGCTCAAATATGGGGCCGGGTCTTGTATTGGATCGCACTATCTGGACACGGCAACTTGGCTTTGCAAAACTTTTCACATTAAATGAGCTACTACATGTATTTTAATTATTCTTAATTGTTTTGTTATCTCTATAGCAAAACAATTAGGAATAATTAAAATTTTACATCACTACGTGTTGCATCCATCTCTTCATCGTAGAATTCAGACATTTTCAGTCCCAATGCCACAGATGTATAAATCAAGCACGTAGCCAAACATTTGTGTCAGTTTTGCAACAGTCTCGCTTGTGAAGTTTCTTCCCTCAAACATATTCCACAATCTACTACACGTAATATTAATAGAAAAAGTAACTTTGTGGCAACTCAGATGAAGTTACACCCATTGGCATATAAGTTGCCAAAGCTCTGCTTAGCCAAGTTCCATATCTCCTGAAAATTAACACTGGCCCCAAAAACTATGCACCAGGAGCTTCAAGGCATTCTTTCCATGGCTGAACAGCTTTGATAGTGTGGCATGATCCAAACAAGACGGGTCCATTATAATGCTTTGTTTTTTACCTTTTAGCTTAATCATTTTTTTCTCTTAGCAAATTATGTGACTCCAATTCCAGCTATAACATGTGTTTTGATTTCTAGGCCTATGCCCTACAATAAACACTGCTTTGAAAACGTTTTTGCCACCTTTCTTATCATTAGTTTTTATGTGCCTAGCCCTAAGTGAAAGTGGGGGGGAAGTCATGTTTCTGTTCCACTAGTACCTACTTGGCTCGACTCGTTTTTTTGGGTTTTCCATTAGGTAGTAGTTCCTGATTCCAGGTACTTTTTTACTATCTGCTGGGATTCCAAGTGAGCAGAGTCGATTCAAAAATGTGACATTGGTAGACTGCATTCCACCGATTGCCAGTCAGTGACATCACTCAGTGCTGTGGTTCCCAAGGTGGGGGGTGGGGGGGCTCCCACACAAATGCAAAGCAGAAGATGAAGCATCGCCAAACCAACTTCCTCCCAAGCCAAAGACAAGAAAATATGATGAACAGCCCCTGCTGACTTCAGCACATCCAAGGAGGAACAGTTCATTGATCTAACCTCTGATTCAACAAAGAGGCTGCAGTTTAAGAGGCTGTGTGAAGATTTTCTTGTAAAACAAAGGAGCCTAGTAAAAAAAAAAAGTTTGGGAACCACTGACTCAATGTCACATAAAAGCAAGTCCTTCACAAAAATCAACCCTGCCATTTTTGTAATTGGGGAAGTGTCTACGCAAATACCAATACCTTAGACCAATCATGATATGCATATTTATTTGGTCTTGGTGACTGATGATAGCAGGAACCAGGCAGAACAACCTGAAATGAGAATGTGTACCAGGAGATCTGTGAGCTGATGGCTGCTCAGGGATACCAGAGGACGTACCAGAGCAATCTCAACAAAAACCTATTGAATATAAAAGCGATTGCAGGACCATCAAGGACCACCACAGTCAGAGTGGTTCGACTGGAAATGGTTCAATCAAATGGACTGCATCTGCAGGCACTGACCGGCGAGCAACAGGAGGAAGATTGGGCTTGACTCGGCTACAGCATTGTTGGAAACCATAATGAGGATGGTGAGTTCTTTATGGGTTAATGCGTCTTTTATGCTAATTATCCCATTGGTGGTAAGCTCACTTTGAACTCACAAGAATATTTTAAAGGTAATACCATTGTCTCCTATATGCAGACAATAACCTGGATGGTTAACTATCAATTCTAACTCCAAGTAGTCACTTCCAACAACAAAATATTTTTAGCTCCAAGTGCATTTCCACAATATTGTTTTTAAACTGGCTTTCATTAACAGTCTCCCATTTCTGCCTTTCGCAAGAGGAAGAGGACCCACACCAAACGAGTGTACTTGAAGAGATGCAGGCTCAGTGTCCTAAATCTGGCCCACCATGAACAGCACAATCGATTTGCTTCTCAGTGAGAGATGTAAGGCAATTGAGCAAGAAGCCATCTTCCAGAGGAAGGAGATTACAGAGTGCTACCTTCATCCAGGCATTCCTCTTTGTGCTGGGTGAGCTTGTACAGGCAATGAGTTGCCAGCGTGAGTGACATTTTTACCCCTCAGCTGTGAAAGGCTGATGTGGTATCATCGTCACCCTGTTGGCGAGCGGGCAGCATGGACTCCTAATTTTGTAAATGTGATAACTCAAGAAGGAAGTCACGTAGGACGTTTAAATTGAAACCATAGGTGCAACTACTAAAAATCGGGGACAGGTTTAAATCTCAGTGACCTTGACTTGAAAGGTCTGAGGTCAAGTTTTCTGAAAATCTTGTGAAAACAAGCATAAAGCATAACTCAAAAATGTAGGATTTTGAAATTAATACCATAGGTGTGGCTAGTAGGAGGCTGAGTGGTAGCACTGGCAGTCACCAGTATTTTTACATCATGAATGCAATAAATGTATATAGTTTAACTTTTCAGCCTTCATTTTGCACATTGTAAATCGTTTGGATTTTGCTGCTGACTATAATAAAGAATTCAGTGACCATTGTGTATGTGATTTTTTTTTTGTTTTTTATTTTGTCTGTTACAACACCAGTAGGGAAAAAAAGTACGAACCAAACAATTATCAGTGAAGTTTTGGTGCAATGACAGCTCATTTGTAATAAAAAGTAACCAAAAGAAATAATCTTCTTCACCAGGTAAAGTCATCACAAAAAACACTGTTATTGGATGCGCCAATGCAGAAGATATTGCACACTTTAGTTATTGCAACAGTATATCAACAAACTGTGTCATACTGGTGTCAGCATTTCCTATAACTCTGTTAGTGTTTATTAGGATTTAACATAACACAAAAAAGTTAAATTTATCTTTTAACATTTAATTTGTATCACTGAATCTTGGTCACCAGGAAAAATAAAACTTAGAAACAAAGATGGAGACAGAACACAACTTTATTGTCAAAATTCATAGTGACATTAAACAGGAGTGCATTTGTGGGGACATGACTGGGAAGGCAACGGCACCTTCCCTTCAGTCTGCTGAAAGCATTTTCAATAACCAGCCATGCTCAAATGATTGTCTTTTTTAAATGTCCAGTGTCATGAAATGGTTTCAAGAACCAGCCTTGCAAGGGACAAGCTGTGTCTCCAAGTATGTAATAGCTACCACACCATTGTTCTTGATGTGAGCTGGTAAGAGGTTTTCCCAGCTAGCTAACTCCTACAGTGTGAACATATTGGTATGGTATTCAGTTATATTGGAAAACAACCTAAACCAAGTTGAGTCTAGTTGAGTTGACTCAAGATGAGTAGGTACTAGTGGAAAAGAGGTTCATTTGTCCTCTAAACCTAAGAACTGGTTGTGCTACCCTTGGCAATGAGAACTGCAGTGCAAAACATTTGTCATGACTTGCAAGTGTATTAGAACATTATCATGCTGTATGGGTTATACAGCAGGATCGTGCACATCAGTTTCAGAGTACTATATGATATAGCAAGATAGTATTTATATATATATATATATATATATATATATATACACACACACACACACACACATGCAATGGCAAGGTGGGAACAGCCCACCTGAGATTGGGAACTGACCTGAAAGACAGGATAATTGCGAAGCTTAAAACCTGGACTCTCTGTAGCCGATTACCAAGACTACGTAAAAAAGCCTTTGAGGATCTACTAGGTGATGTGAATGCAGCACTATGGACCATATCTACTGCAACCATCACCGAAACTAACCAGCTGATCTACATCATGGCAGCAGTGATCAATGAGGTGCATGGCTACAAGTAGAACAGCCACAAGGAGCAGTACAGTCCATGGAAAAGGAGGCTAGAGGCCAAGATCAAGGAAGCACGGAGGAAAGTTAGCCAACTATAGGAGCTGCAAAATGGTGCAATGAAGAAGGTGCCTAAGAAGTACAGCACGCTGTCTCTACCTGAGGCCTTGGAAACTACCAAGGAAAGACTCACAGCCTTGGCCAGCCGCTTTAAGAGGTACACCAGAGAGATAGAAGGCACGTGAACAAACCACTTGTTCTCCACAGAACCATCCAAGGTGTACAGAGACTGAGCAATACTGGAAGAGCATATGGGAGAAGGACACAACACATGATGGCAATGCTCAGTGGCTAGTGGATCTAAGAGCGAACCACAACAACCTCCCTGAACAGAGACCAGTAACCATTACAGTGGCAGACATCCAAGAAAAGGTCTCCAGTATGAAGAGTTGGACAGCACCAGGCCCCGACAT